GGATGGATGATGGATGGATGGAGGATGGATGGATGGATAATGGATGGATGGATGATGGATAGATGGAGGATGGAGGATGGATGGATGGATGGAGGATGGATGGATGGATAATGGATGGATGGATGATGGATAGATGGAGGATGGATGGATGGATGGATGGAGGATGGATGGATGGATGGAGGATGGATGGATGGATAATGGATGGATGGATGATGGATGGATGAATGATGGATGGATGATGGATGGAGGATGGATGGATGGATGGTGACACCAACAGGTCTCAGCAGTAGTTTTTCTACCTGTCTGTAAAACCATGTTTTTCTTTGAAGTTGTTTATATTGGGACTAAAACGCGGAAGTGAATCGCACCCGTCATGAAACGTCACCACGCTGACGTCATGTGAGCAGCAGTGGGAGCAGAGCAGGGGGAAACAGTGAGCCGCCCTGTCATTGCTTCATCAGGCTTCCTATTCACAGCCCAAATGATCGGAACCGAACCAGAACAGTTACTGTGGTTCTGATCCAAACTTTAAACTTCCGCTCTGATGCATCAATATAAAAAAAAAACAACTTCCGCTTATTTAAAAAAGTATTCACTCTTCTAGGAGTGTGGTTCCATAAGCCAGAGAGTATCGGGTGGAGTCATCTCCGTGTGTCCCGTTCAGGAACGCTGAGGACAGGCTGACTCAGAGGGAGGCATGGCTGAGCTGCTCCACATCCTCCGACTTTACTGAATTCTAATAACTCACCATTTCTCCGTGCACTCTATGACCAGCTCCTGAGGCGAGGCAACAAACTGGAACTTTGCGGCCTTTTTTCCGACCCGCTGCAGCCTTTTCCACACCGAAGTCATCTTTGACTCCCCGAACAGAGGCGAGGCAGTCCCCGCTGACAGGCAGCGACCGCCGGGATCACCGAATAAACACGCGCGGCTGCCCAGTCCGAGCTGACGTCAAGCTAACGGAAACAGACTGGAACACGCCGGAAGGGGACTTTCAAAATAAAGCTGTTCTTCTTAACATTTCAGTTTCTGTTCTAATCTGTGTTCAGATTAGAGATTATGAGGCTGTTATTTCACCTTTAAATCCACAAAAAAAAATAAATAAATCTGGAGCTGCCTCAAAACTTATTCCATGATTTATTGTTAAAAAAAATAGATGTTATTTTTCTTTCCAAAATACTTGGTTTTTGACTTGGAAAGGTCTGAGCCTCTAGTTTCCAAAGAAGGTGGCCATTAGGGGGCGGGGCTAAAAATGAATACCTGCTGGTGCATTACTCTCAGAGAATTCAGTT